TTAACTGAAATTAAGTTTTTGTCAACTAACAATTAACTAATAGTCAGTTAACAGAATTAATGAAATATTATAAAATTAGTTTTGTTAATTCTATTAGTTGAAAGAAGATTTTTGTCAGTTAATAGTTAACTGATAATTAATTAATAGAATTAACAGTTAACTAACAAAATTAATAGTCAACTAACAAAACTAACAAAATGTTACAAAGTGATAGCTATTATCTTTAATTTTAATAGGTGAGGGGGTAAAAGTGTCATAGTATATGATAAAGGGTTAAAACCTACAAATCTAGTAAGATGAGGAGTTAAAAGTATCATAGTAAATATTAATTATTTAATAAAAAAAATTTTAAACCTCTTTTAATCTAATAACTTATCCTTAAAGTTTAGATTCTTTATTCTTTTAATTAAAAAAAATGTGCCAATGATTTTTACATTGTATTAACAATTCAAAATGGTAGTACTATAATTTGTAGTAATACTATTTCAAACAAGATTCTAAAATCAACAACTTACATATCCATTTGATGTAAAATTCAAATACATAACTAGCTAGATCTTATATATGGAAAATTAACAACTTGTATAATTAGATGGTGGTTTTTGTTGAATGATGAGTCATTTTTATGGCATCTTAGATTTTTTTTTTTTTGTCTCTTCCAAAGTTCCCCCAATTTGATGCAGCACCAAACAGCTCCAAAACTCAACTCATGGCTCAAAAACAAAGGAGAAGGATGAAACATTTTTATGGGCAAAAACCTAATTTTAGCCCCTCACCTTATTAAGTTTAAAAGTTTTAATCTTTCACTTTATATTATAACACTTTAGCCTCTCACCTTATTAGATTTATAGGTTTTAGCCCCTTACTTATTAAAATGAAAGAAAATAGTCCTCACTTTATACTGATTATTAACTTTGTTAGCTAAAATTAAGTTTTTGTCAACTAACAATTAACTAATAGTTAGTTAACAGAATTAATGAAATATTATAAAATTAGTTCTGTTAATTCTGTTAGTTGAAAAAAGATTTTTGTTAGTTAATGATCAACTGACAGTTCATTAATAGAATTAACAGTTAGTTAACAGAATTAATAGTCAACTAATAGAACTAACATAGTGATAGCTATTATCTTTAATTTTAATAGGCGAGAGGGTAAAAGTGTCATAATATACGATAAATGGTTAAAACTTACAAATCTAGTGAGATGATGAGTTAAAATTATTATAATATAAAGTGAAGAATTAAAACTTTTAAATTTAATAAAATAAAAAATTAAAAGTAAGTTTTTACCTGTTTTTATGGGTCACCCCCGTGCCGCCCTGCCCTTAATTTCGAAAGGTGCCATTTTTATTTTTTAATACTATATTTGTAACAAAAATAATAAAATAATAATAACAATAAGATTCCATACAATTAATTGGCGGCTATATAAACATGGACTTGGGAGACAGAGAGTTTCATAAACACGACCACCTTTCACTTCCCACTGCTTGGCTGAGCACCGACTTGTGATTTAAAAATTCTTCTTTAGCTAGCTAGCTAGATGGAAATCAAAGACTACACCCACGATGGCACGGTGGATGTTCATGGCCGCCCTGTTCTTGCCTCCACAACTGGAAAGTGGAAAGCTTGCTCCTTTCTCCTGGGTATGCATTTCCTTCCTATTCGCATGGAAAATTAATTTAAGTATTCAAGCCAATCCAACCCTATTGTTGATTAAGTTGCTAGAAAATTGCAGGCAGGGTGTATATATATATATGGAGTTAGAATAGAATTTAATTAGTAGAATTAATTTTTGCTAATTTAATTGACAAACCAACAGCGTATGAAGCGTTTGAAAGGATGGCCTTCTATGGAATAGCTTCAAATTTGGTAAATTATCTGACCACCCAACTTCACGAAGACACAGTTTCCTCGGTGAGGAATGTGAATAACTGGTCTGGATCAGTGTGGATGACGCCAATTCTGGGTGCCTACATAGCCGATTCTT